GCGGAACAGGTAAGACCTGCGGGTCTGTCTCAGGCATGTTCCGAGGCACCGACAAGTCTGGTGCAGGGAGCAGTGGAGACGACAGGGGAGAGGGGGATGGCTGGCAGCCTGGGGTCCCCGAGAACAAAGGAGGGGACCCAGGACCCCTGAGCCAGGCGCAGCCCCCGACACGCCAGGGTCTGCAGGCACACCGCTGCAGGTTGAACTGTGCACCCCAAAAGGACAGGTCAGTCCTAAACCTGTACCCGTGCAGGGCACTGACTCAGTGACCCGTGCAGACTCCAGCCAGTTAGAGCACACGCTGCCCTGGGGGCCGAAACCAACCGGCTGGACCCTCAGCAGGGAAAGGCCCTGAGCGGGGAGGGACAGAGCTGGGGGGCAAGGAAGGGGCCTCCCTGCGGTCTCCCAGGTGCGGCCCTGCCTTGGGTTTGGACTTCCAGCCTTCGGAACTGTAGGGAACACTTGTAGGTCCTTAGTCGTCCAGTTTGGGGTATTTGGTTCTGGCAGCCCTGGCAGCCCTGGCACCCCTCATTGTCAGGGACCCCACCCCTGGGGCACGACCACCCCTCACTGTCAGGGACCCAGGCTGGGAAAAGCGGACCCAGCCCCACAGTACAGCAAAGGGGAGTCATCTCTGCGCGCACCCCCTCTGGGCCAGGTGTCCCGTGACAGTGCCTTGGGAAGGCGGAGACAGGAGACGTTCCCCTGAAGAGGCCAAGGGAACGGGCCAGGCGGACTTAGGGGAGACAGGACCCCCTGAACGCAGCCGAGCATGTCCCCCTACCCCTCCGACCTCTAACACCAGGGCCACCTCTGCTCCGAGCCTCACCTGAAACAGCGCACACCCACCCGCGTGCACCCTCTCGCCACCCACACGCCTGCAGCCATCACCCCTACGCGGGACTCCGTGGAAGCCAACGGATGTGAACTCGTCCCAAAACACGTCCCATCTCCCCACGCGTGCTGAGAAGGGGCACGGAGAGCAGGAAAACACGGCCAGGATACCACCGCCCCGGCCTGGACGGCACCTTCGCGCCATCCGTAAGAGCCGGCGGCCGCGGCGGGAGGGGTCCCCATTCCGGGGCGGGGGGGGGGGACAGGACCTGAAAGGTGAGCAGAGGGAAGGGCTAAGGGGCAGGTGAGAATCAGGTCCCCTGGGTCTGACGTACTCCCCAGGAGAGCACCCTCGGGGAGGCTGAGCCTGGTCCCCACAGACCTCGCGAGGAGACAGCCTGCTCACGCCACATGCCCTCGTGGGTGCCCGTGAAGAATACATGGAAACCACACGGGAGGCACACGCGCTTCAAACACGGGACCATCATCACTGCCGTGAACGTGACCTGTGTGCACGCCACGCGTGGGCTCAGACCACGCACGTGCCAACCACCGGACGAAACGCCCACAGGACACACACCCTCTCGGCCAGCCCAGTCCCCGTGGTGACCCCCACCCCACCCCACCCCTGAGAGGCCCAGGGAGCCAGCGTCACCCTCTCTGTTTTCAGGAGCGATCACCCCCTTTCCACAGAGCTCAGCCAGCCCTCCAGCATTCTGCCAATTCTGCACCAAAGCAGCCAGCGGCGCGGACAGCAGATACCCAGGCTCAGACTCAGACGGGCAGCATAAGCCAAAGGCCCACAGGCCCTTGTGGTCATCCGCCCCCAGGAAACGGGTTCCCAGGGGAGCCACAGGATGAACGGGGAGGGGTCCAGACACTTCCTCCCACTGAGCGATCCAGGGGTCCAGACCACTGAAGACAGAACACGACGATGTGTGACTCCGAGGTCCGCCAGCAACGCGCCTCCGTCCCAGCCACAGTGTCTGGAAGCTGGAGTATTCTCCACGCCCCTCCCCCTTTCCTCTGACCGATCTGTCCCCGGCTGCCCACTCGTCCCCACCCCTATTTCAAGCCCTGACCAGCCAGGCCCCCACCTCACGCTGTGGTTACCCGGCCGCCTCCCTACAGCCCCCGACTCCAGTCCCCCCACTGGACGTATTAGACATGAGCCAGTGCGAGACATCTGGCAGCGGGGCCTCCTGAGCGCATCACCGCCCCCGCACCCCAACCTGAGGGACTCCAAGCCTGACCTGGGGAGCCACTGCCCCTCTCCCCGCGCCTCACCCCTACCTTCCAGCATTTCCCTAAGAAAGGGGGCAGCATGTCCCCACTCACTCAGACCCCCTCACACCCGCGGCGGCCGTCCAAGCAGCCCGCCCTGTCCTCCAGCTCACGGGGCACTTCAGCCTCCCATTTGGAGCGCAGAATGGCTTCAGCAGGGGCTCGGAAGTCCAGCTCCCCCAGCCTGGGGCTAAGTGACCCCTCTCTGTGCCTCGACTTCCTCACCTGCACGAAGGGGATCACCAGACGCCCCCAGACGTGTTTATGAGGCTGGCATGAAGCCAAACACGGAAGACAGTCAGAACAGCCACACTGTCGGCTCCAGCTCATGACGAGAAGCATCACGTCATACAGCGTCCTGGACGGACGTGTCACTCCTCGGTGGTAACATAAACAAAACTAACACATCAGTCCTTTTAAACCGCTTCCTGTGAAGCAGATGTTCATTTCCAGGGCAGAGCTGCTGGGATCGGACAGGCGTGCGGGTCCGCAGCAGGGAACAGGCTCGGGGCCTCGACCGCCGCACCGACGGCGTTTCGTGTTCCTGGGAGCGCACGTCCATCACATGTTTGTATCAGGGCAACGGACTGAACGGGAACTTTATTTTTTTTTATTTTTTATTTTTAATCCTCATCCGAGGACATTTTTCCATTTTTTGTACAGACAGAGCAGGAGGGAGAGAGAGGGAGAGAGAGAGAGAGAAACATCGATGTGAAAGGGACACATCGAGTGGCCGCCACCCGCACGACCAACCAGGGCCGGGGACAAACTGCAACCGAGGCACATGCCCTTAGCGGGAACCGAACCCGGGCCTCTCCGGACCGCAGGTGGACGCTCTAACCGCTGAGCCAAACCGGCCAGGGCCTGAACGGGAACTTTAAAATGAAAAGCTGGCCCAGCGCCACGGATACGTCGAGAAGCAGTGTGCAGAGGGGACGGGGAGCAGGGCTCTGTCATCTCTCTCCTGCACCGGACGTCAGCGCGGGGGAGGCACACGGACCCGAGTCCCAGGTAAATAGGAACACAGCTTCGAAAACATGTCCGTCGTGTAACGATGACGTCAACGTAGGTCTCGTGTGAGCAGACATGTAAACAGGATCTCCAATTCATAATGTTCTTTCAGGAGGGATTTGACATTTCATCTCAAACCGACCAGAGTAGAAACAGCTGACCGGAGAATAGTTTCCATGCTGTCTTACTAACATAGCACTATGTGTAGCTTTGAAAAAAGACAAAAGACAGTCCAGCTGGTGTGACTCAGGGGTTGAGCATCAACCCATGCACCTCCTAGGAGGTCGCTGGTTCGATTCCCGGTCAGGGCCCAGGTTGTGGGCTGATCCCCAGTAGGGGGCGTGCAGGAGGCGGCCAGTCGATGTTCTAATCGATGTTTCTCTCTCTCTCCCTCTCCCTTCCTCTCTCTCTAAAACCAATAAAGAATGAAACATGGAGCAATGTCAATATTAACCTTCCCCGCAGAACTCGGGAGAAAGATAATTACTTAGCTCAGTCTTGGACATCATTTTGATGGAACCTCTTATCTTTCTTCAAATAAAGCAGAGCCTTGGCAGACAATCCCAACAACGCTTCAGACAAAACACCTTCTTTGTTTCCCACGGGGGCCAGTCCTGTGTGGCCCGGATCGCAGTGACGTCAGACTAGCCCGTGAAGGACCCGGCTGGAAGGAGCGCAGGGATTCCGCCGAGCTCTCACCGACAGAGGCGCGCAGCCCAGCGGAGGCAGGCTGCAGGGGCTGGAGGCTGAGTGTATTCTCACCGAGGGAAATCCGTGCTCGTCACACAGACTGGAAATTCCCGTAGGAAGTTCAAGGCAAGCAGGGAGCCCCTTACAGCCCCGTCCCCCTCTGTCGGACGCAGAGATCCAGACACATCACACACGCGGCCTCTCCCTGGTCCCGACCCCCGGACCCCAGGGCCCTGCAGGTAGTCTTCTCCCTCCAGCAGGTCGCATGTCTTCCTCTCCCTCGACTGTCCCCAAACTTGTAACCTTGTGCAAGGTCATAGATTCAACATGCTCGGGCTTCATTGAACTTCTCGCAATTCCCCTGAAGATGGGGTCCTGCTTCTCATCTGCGCCCCTGCCACCTGGTAACGCCCACATTTCGGCAGGTTCCTCGGATCCCTCCAGAGTCCCGACCCATCCTCATCTGTTCCTGCCCCCCATGGGCTCTTGTACCGACCCGGCTGCCCTGCGGACACACCGCCAGCCCTCCACGCAAAGCCCCTAGGGGTGGCGGCCTTTCACACTTCCTGACACCCCCCTACCCCGTACGACGTCCGGATCTACGTCTCCAAGAACCACAGATCCTGTCCACACACACCTCTCACCATGCACGTCTCCGGGCTCCGGTTCTTAGTGCGGGCTCAAAGGGACGGGTCCCTGCCTCTGGACAGCAGACGGTGAACAGCCCTCTACAGGCACGAGGAGCGAGGCCAGAGGCCGCAGGAGCCAAGGCACAGGTCCTGAAGCAAAGGCTGCCCGCGGAGGGGGCCTCACCCACGCTCTCCCTCCACACACCACCTCACACCCCTCCCTCCGGCGCCCCGCCCGGCTCCTGTGACAGGCGCCAGGACACAGAGCTAGGCACTGGGCAGTGCGTCCTGGGAGCCAGCCCTCTCTGTCTCTGCACACTCTCGACAGGTCACAACAGCGTGACGTCAAACAGCCACGAACGCATCACACCCAAACCCAGACTCCCAGCTGCGGCTGCCCCACAATCTGGATCCCCAGAGGCGGCTCAAACTGACACATTCAGAAAAGGACTTGTTCTCTCCTCCCCTGCCCCCTCCCCCGTCCTTGGGAAGAAAAGCAAACACATTCTTCTGTTCCCAGTGGGGTGTGGGGGCCACCATCAACCCACCTACCAGCCAGTGGTCCTCTGCCTGCAAGACCCTGGCAGCTCCCAGGAACTTTGCAACTACGTATCTGTGTGAAGCCAGGTTTCCCTGTAGCCTGCAGTCAAAACAACATATTGCAACAGACTGGGTGCAGAACGCGGGAGCCAGACAGGAGAGGCATCTGCAGAAATGTGAAACAGCCTTCATTTCACTATTTCGTTTGGAAGAACGGTTAGCGTTCATAAAAAAAAAAAAAAAAATTTAACATGAAATTTGTTTATTATTTTTAAATGAACTAATATATATTTCTAAAGTCCTCAGTTTCTATTTCTAACACAGCAAATACTGAGATAGAACCTACATAAGCGAAAGCTCTGTGGGATCCTCAAAAATGTTTACGGTTATAACGGGATTCTGAGATAAAAAAGTGCTGAGGCCCGGCCGGTGTGGCTCCGTGGGTGAGCGTCAACCCTGCACCAAGAGGTCGTCGGTTCGATTCCTGGTCAGGGCACATGTCCAGGTTGTGGGCCTGATCCCCAGTGGGGGGCGTGCAGGAGGCGGCCAGTCGATATTCTCTCTCATCGATGTTTCTCTCTCTCTCCCTCTCCCTTCCTCTCTCTCTAAAAAATCAATACAAACATATAAAAAGTAAGTAAAATCACATTCCCTAAACACCCTCCAATAGCACCTCATTGCCTGCACCCTAATATATAAACGCCCCAATACAGCTCACCCAGGCTCCACAACCTGATCCACCTTTCATTCCCGCTCCAGCCCAGCTCCCCCACACGGCGCCTCAGGCCCACAGCCCACAGCCCACCCCGTGCTGCTCGGGCCGCGGCCCTCTGCCCATGCTGGTCCCTCCTCCCAGAATCAACTCCCTCCTCCGTTCTCAGCCCATCCACTCCTCCACCCCTCCAAGTCCCAGCCTCGAAATCCACTCCTCCGTGAGCTCCTGTCGAAGAAGGGGCTGCTCCCCTGGCTGCCAGGTCTTCACACACTGCTCTTGAAGAGCATCTGGAACATTCTATTTCTGTTCCCAGGGGTTTCTCAACCTTGGAACCATGGACACTGGAGGCCAGGTGATCCTTTGTGCGGGAGGCTGTCCAAGCACTGGAGAATGTTAGCAACATCCCTGGCCTCCACCAACTGCATACATGCCAGGAACAGCGTGCATGCACACACACACATGCATGCACACACACATGCACATGCACACGCATGCACACACATATGCACCACACAGGCACACACACACACATACATGCACACACACGCACACATGCACAGTTCTAATGTCGGCGCCAGGGTGGGAGGTGCACTTCCCCCCAGTGAGAACCACTGGTCTGTACTGAAGTCTTCGGGCCGAGGACCACATGCGGTGCTCCCAGCATGCCTTTATGCTGACCTTCATTCATGAACGAAACCCCGTGGGCCAGGCCCGCTCAAAGCCAGGCGCAGGGCCGGAATGAACGTCCGGGGCCCCGTGACCATGAAGCCACGGCTGGCAAGGGGCCCGGAGGTGCTCAGCGATACCTGGTGAGTGACTGAATTTGCTTGGCAGCACAGATCTAGTCATGTCTCCCTCAAAACAGGGAAAATAAAACCCAGGCGCTAAACGTGTTCTCCTCGTCCCGGGGTCACAGCATCGTCCAGTGGGGGCCATCCCCACAGAACGCCACGTCGGCACTGCCCCCCGGGCTGGGCCCTCGGCACCGCGCGTCCGTATCTCCAAGAAAGCTGCGGTGAGCTCAGGAACGGCTCGGCCGGTAACGAGAAGACACGCTGGGAACATTCGCCTGCACACACACGGCCACAGGTCCCAGTGCCAGGGCGTCTGTGCCAGAGGCCAGAGACGGGACTGGGCACCTCCCACCAGAACCAGAGATGAGACGGCCTGGGCTCCCAGAGCAGCCTGCCCTCTGCCCAGAACACGCCACGCAAGATGCTGGCGAGCTCCGAGGGCGGATGGCGCGCTGAGCAGCCCAGCTCCCCCAGGGGCACGGGGCACCCTAACGTGCAATGTCACTGTCTCGGGAGGGTGCCTACCAGCAGCCAGGGCCGCTGACGACGGAGGGAGGCCAAGGGCAGATCGGGGCACACAGATCAGCCTCCACAAGTCCCTTTAGCCTCTCTGGCACTCGGTTTCCCTTTGTACCAAACGACAGAGAATCTCGCTAAATTTCATTCAAGCTCTAAACATACTTCGTTTCCCCCCAAAACAGTACAGACTCACAAAATCTCCCTTCTCCAAACCAAACAGAACAGGGGTCTCCCTCCCTTCCCGCCAAAACTCTTTTTGCCAAAAGAGGAGATAAAGCAGCCGCTGCTTCCGCTCTGCACCCGCGAGGCACGGGCGGGGCCGCAGGGCTGCCTGAGGGGCCGGCAGGTGTGGGTCTGCGGCGCACACCTGCAGCCAGGGCAGGAGCGTTCCGGAAACGCGCATCCGGAAAAAGGGGCTCGTGTTGCGACAATTTGAGGGTGCCAACATGTGAATGGGAAGTAGCATGGCAATAGGAGAATGCTTTCAGCTGCAAGACACTGACCACTGGTGCAACAGGGGTTAAATCACACGGACATCTACTGTTCACCTAACAAGCAGTCCAGGGAGAGGTGGTCCCAAAGTCCATTCATTCATCAGCTGTCACAACGTCAGAAAGCCACCCGACGCCTCCTCTACGGCTGGCTTTCACCCGCAGGCGTGTTGCCTCGTGGTCACAAAGAGGTGGCCTAGCTCCAGCTATCACATCCTCTTCCTACTCTTCCAAAGGCAGGACACTAAGGAGCAATCAGGCATGAAGAGCGCTCTCCCTTTCTGTCTGTATTGTTTTCAGTGAGGAGGAAAATCCTTCTCCAGAGTCCTGCGGTAAATTTCCATGAAATGTCTTCAGCCAGAACTAAGTCATCTGCTCACTCCAAGATGCAAGAGAGGCTGGGAAAGTGAGGACCTGGTTTTTCTTAAAAAGTCCCTTTGGGAAGGTGGGGGAGTAGGATGAGAAGAAGGGGGTCGGGGTGGGGGAAGGAGAAACATCTCTAACAAAAATAAATTAATAAAAATTGGAGAAAAAATAAATTAAAAATATTAAATTTTAAAAAAAGCTTTTTTGTTGGAAGTGGATAAGGGAAACCTCAGATAAGAATGATGGTGATGCCCGGCCAGTGTGGCGCAGTGGTTGAGCGTTGACCCTGCACCAAGAGGTCGCCGGTTCGATTCCCGGTCAGGACACATGCCCGGGTTGTGGGCCTGATCCCCAACAGGGGACATGCAGGAGGCGACCAATCGATGTTCTCTCTCATCTATGTTTCTCTCTATCTCTCCCTCTAAAAACAATCAAGAAAAAAAAATTTTAAAAATGGCGGTGAAACAGCCAGCCAAGTGTCTGCGACGTACGACTTGACCTAGCAGTGCGCTGGCCAATGCTCTGTAACCCGTTTTGAAAGAGAAAAGCAAAACCAACCACTCTAATTTGTAGCACTTGCCAGTTTTCTTGGTGTAAATACTCCCATTATTCCAGATGTCGAACTACCAGCAAACTACGGACCAGCTCACAGGATTCCTGGAGTCGTAACACTCGGCTGGTGCCGGCCTGCCCCGGAGCACCAGTGAACGTGCACCTTGCACTGGGCAGTGACTGACGTGGGCAATGCTCCTTCACGTTCAAAGCGATCGCGATGGCTCGGGAGAGTTCCCCCAGCTCACGGGAGGAAAAGGACACAGCACAAGCGCAGCTGGAATGCTCACATAAGGCCCCCACCCCAACCTCGCCACACCTGGCCGCTCCGGGGGCTGAGTGTCTGTCCCTGCAGCCTGCGGAGTCCCTCTGCCTGCCCGGCAGCCAACAGGACCTGCCTGGCTTGGAACCAAGTCCACACCACTGAGTTTCTTCGTGTGTTACTATGGACTAACGACTGCGTTGCTGTCCACACGAACAACGGTACACCTACTTTTGCCCCATCCCGTGCCGTTTTTTTTTAAGTAGAAGTCATGCTATGTGGTAACATGATAACATTTTTCTTTATTATGTAAAGTTCCCAAGACACAGAGAAATAGGTTGGAGGTTGGTATACGAGCTTCGACATCACCCAGCTTCAGAAATTTTCTAAAGACCATTAAAAGTCAGTGTTTCCCCTTCTGTTCACAGGGAGGACCAGGCAGGAGGCAGGAGGCAGGGGGAAGGAGGGGAGCAGGGGGAAGGAGGCAGGGGGCAGGGGGCAGGGGGCAGAAGGCAGGGGGCAGAAGGCAGGGGGAAGGAGGCAGGGGCAGGGGCAGGGGGCAGGGGGAAGGAGGCAGGGGGCAGGGGGCAGGGGGCAAGGGCAGGGGGCAGGGGGCAGGGGGAAGGAGGCAGGGGGCAGGGGGCAGGGGGAAGGAGGCAGGGGGCAGGGGCAAGGGGAAGGAGGCAGGGGGCAGGGGGCAGGGGGAAGGAGGCAGGGGGCAGGGGCAGGGGGCAGGGGGCAGGGGGCAGGGGGCAGGGGGCAGGGGGCAGGGGCAGGGGCAGGGGGCAGGGGCAGGGGGCAGGGGCCAGGCCTCTCCTGCGGCTTCCCCACCGTGACCTCAGGCTGAGTCAGCTCCTTGCAGCTCAGCTCAGAGACGCCTGCTCTTCTCAGAGACCCCCCAGCTCCCCAGCTCCTGCCTGGTCTGTCAGGAACCCCACGGGGGGTTCAGAAGCCCATTAGAATCATCACAGTTCTCGGAGATCCCGACTGCCAGGGACCCACCTTCCACTTCGCCATGTCCACGTCGCCGAGCACACCCGAGAGGCCCGCTCCCGGGGCACCTAAGATCCTGGGGCTGCTCCTCCTCGTCCTCCCCTGGTCCCCAGCGGACGCAGCAACTCCCAGACCTGGCTTCCTGGCCCTCCAACTTCCTGAAGGAGCACGGTTCACCCCCACAGCTGCCAGAACCGGTGGGATTCCCAGCAGACTGAAGGAGGGGCTGCACCCCTAAGGAACAGCTTTGCGTGAGTCCCCAGAGTGCCCAGTGGAGACCCAGAGTAAACGGAAAACTCTGCAGCCCCAAACAAGGTCAAAGACTGTGCTCACGGGACAAAACCGGAGCTGCTCCCTGGTGCCCGGTGGCCCCGGGGTAGCCGAGGGCATGCGGGAGCTCTGGGTATC